TGTGTGTGTGAGTGTGTGTGTGAGTGTGTGTGTGTGTGTGAATGTGTGTGTGAATGTGTGTGAGTGTGTGTGAGTGTGTGTGTGTGTGTGTGTGTGTGTGCAGGCAATCTGGCCCTGTCTGAGAGGAGGGGCTGGAGGGGCAGACTTCTAGATGCCAGTCCTGGACTGCAGGACACTCCCTGTGCATGTCACCAACCTGAGCGTGGCCCAGTCTGTTACCACTGTTGACCGGTGACGAGTCCTTGCTTCCCCAAATGCTGAAGCAGAACACCAGAGAAGCTCGCAGAGGCAAGAGTGGAGTGGACGGTGGGAGCTTTATTAAAGGCACCTTGCAGCTTTGAAATGCAGCTGTGGGCAGTTTGGGGAGGCAGCTGCCCTAGGGACGGACACTGGGCAGTAGTTAAGTATCTGTGCCCCCATCCTCACCTGTGAAGGGGATCACGAGGTCACCGCCTGTTTGTCTTTCACCTAAGAGTAAGGAAGCTCCAGCCTTCCTCCCATAACCTTGGGAGGCTGGGAGGCCTCTCTCCTTGCACGGGGCTGTGGCCCTGGGGTGAAACTTGCTCTTGCTGATTCCCAGTTCCACACGTCTTCTCCCCTCTGCTGTCCGTGGCTCACACCAGATGTGGACGCAGCATGCCCGGCTTCTGTGCAGTGTCCCCCCGGTGTACTCCTTTCCTCTACTGCTGTATCAAGTTCCCCAAACGGTGACTTCAAATAGCGCCGATGCATAGGATTTGCATTCTGTGGTTGCAGGTCTCATGAGCTGGGTGGGCCTCTGCTCAGTGTACTGTAGGGTGTGCTCACCTCTGGACCCTGGGGAGGAATCCCCCAGGCCATGCGCACTGTGGCATCCCCCAGCTCCCCAGTGGCTGCCTTCTCCCCATCCTTCCCCTCCTATTGGAATCTCTGAAGTCCCTCCTAGCCCACTCTCCCTTGTGACTCCAGCCAGAGAAAACTCTTTGCTTTTAGGGACTTGTGTGATGAGGATGGGCCTGCCCAGATGGTCTTGGGCCTTCTATTTTAAGGCCCATCACCTAAATCAAATCTGCAAAGTCCCCTTCTGTGACGCTGCAGTCCGAGTTTGCCATTCTTACCACCCCCCCACACCTGGCCAGCCAGGAGCACTGTGAGTCTGCTCATTCTGCCTCCCTTCCCCATGGACGAGTGCTCCCCTGGGGCTTTTCTGCCTTCCACACTCCCAGCTGTGTCCCCCCCCTGCAGGACTGCTGTAGGACTTTGTTTTCTGACACATACAGTGCAGTGTACGGCACCCTGTAGGTTTTTCTATCATTACTTAAAATGTTACAGTGCTTCTCTTCTACATTGATTACATGAAGCAATGGCTGTTCAGTTTTTCTGAAGATTATAATGCAAATGAAGTTCCTTCCCTTGAGGATTTGTCAACATGTTTGCAGATCCATGTGTAAAGGCAGAGTGTGACCAGGTCACAGTTCTGATGCTCTCTGGGATTTGGGAAAGGTCAAGCAGACCGCACAGATTCTCTAAGGAATTCAGAGCACACAGGGCACAAGAGAGGACCTACTGCCCACTGTCCCCTGAGGCTCCTTGGCTCTCCTCTGGCTGGGCCTGCAGGTTATGGTCTCCAGAATTCTCTTAATTATTTCCACTAACTTGCCCCCAGAGTGTTTGCTAAGTGCAGGGTAGAGGGAATGAGGACATTCTTGGAAGAGACCAGTGAGAATCTCTGTGGATCCCAGGGTTCACAGAGACCCGACAACAGAGGCCGCGATCTGTCATGAGGGTGACTTTCAAGACCTCTTGTCTCCATCTTGAAGCATAAGCAGAATTTCTAAACTAAAGACACTCTGTCTAAAAATGTTAGCTGCTAAATTGTTGGAAATGTTTAATGAATCTAAACCTTATCCAAAAGCCTACTACTGTGTTTTCCTAAATCACTACACATTCAAAAAGTCTCTACATGTTTTCAGATCATTTGTAAAATACTCACTTTTATTTTTTGCTGTCCAGGGTATGCAAAAGACAATGTTTTCAGTAAGGATAGTATTGTAACATCCAGGGCCAGGATGGAGCGTGCAGTCAGTAGTGTGGGAACTTGTCAGAGAGCCATGGAATCTGGATCCTCCAAGTGTTACTGCAGTCAACTCCAAACCTGTGCTGATAGGAAGGTGACTGTGCTGATTAGCTAGCCGAAGGCTTCCAGTCCCTTCTGAAAACTTCTGGATAAACTGAAGGGAGGATAATGGCTGCATTCAAGTGGCCTCTCCCCATTTCCCATGGAGCTGACTTAGCTCGTCTCCCTGCCTTGTGGGTCGGTGCCTCTGAAGAACCACGGTGAGACATTGAAACCTTGTTCTGTTCGTTAGTATGTGACCTGTTCATAAATGGTGTCTTTGGGGGCTGGGGCTGGGGCTCAGTGGTCGAACGAACTCTTGCCTAGCACATGCGAGGCCCTGGGTTCAATCCTCAGCACCACATACAAATAAATTTTTTAAAAAATAAAGGAATTGTGTCCAACTAAAAAATGAATATTAAAAAATGTATATAAATGGTGTCTTTGAGGTACCGTGCTGGTCAACAGAGACTGTCAGGAACTCCACCGCTGGCAGCATTTGCCCCAATATCCAGCCCTAGTGGCCCTCACAGCGGGGACAGTGGACAGTGTGGGGAGGCTGGGCCCTGGCTTGGGCATGTCCTGGAGCAGGGCAGAATTTTGAAGAGCTCCATCGTCTCTTGGCTCCCTGCTGTTCACACCAGACATCATCCCCCCCAGGTCTGTGGAGACGAGGAAATGGACAGAGCTTTGGGAACTGCTGTGTATCGTGGGGCACAACTGGCCTCAAGAGACGGCACCCACCCTGGGACTCTCAGAGCCCAGAGGCTGGTCCCAGAAGAGGGTGAGAGGCTGTGGGTGGGAAGCTGTGGCTGCTCAGAGACAGGAGGCTGAGCCAAGGAATGGGGGCGGCGCCCGGGACCCCCTTCCTACAACCACCAGACACTGGATCTGGCAACAGGAAAAATAAGCCTGGAAGTGATTCTGTCCCCAAAGCCTCCAAGAGCTCAGCTGGCCAACACCTCTGTCTCAGCCCCGTGATGTCCCCATGGAGGGCCCAGGCCTCAGCCCCGCGCTCGGGTGCAGAGGCTGCTGTCCATGGTCATTGTGACACAGCAGGGAATCTGTGGCTGCCCCTGGTTTTTTTTCTGGCCTCATTTTTTCTCTTGGGACCACAGTGCACCCTGACTTCACAGGCAAAGATCTCCATTAGACTGGGCACAGATGCGGGGTGCATGTAGCTCGGGCCTCAGCATGTGCCCGCCTGCCTGCTTTGCATGGGCAGTCCTGGCACAGAGTAGAGGGCTCTGTGTCGGGGAGGGCTGTGTCTGAGACCGGCTGCACTACAGTGCTCGTCCGGACCTGGCTCCTCTCCACGCTGCTCACTGACCCTCCTCACAATGGAGATGAGCTGTTTGCAGAGGAGCTTGTGGTGGAGGCATGGTTGTGGAGGTCACCTGGACCTGTGCAGGCTCAGGTGGCCCCTCAAGGACTCAGGGGGCCTGCTTAGCATCCGYGGCTGCGGGAGCACCGAGGTCCCAGTCTTGCTGTGCAAGTGAACATTTTCTTAGCAACTCCTGAGAGTGCTCCAAGGTGGTGGTGCTACCATCTAGGGGTGCTGGGTTCGGTGCCTCTGTTCAGCAAAGAATTGAAGAGCAGGGCACAGAGATGGCAGCAAGAAGGAGGTTTACGGAGGAGAGCAGAGCTATAGAGACAGACTTCTCGGAAGAGAAGGCCCAGAGCTGGAAAACCAGTGCGGGGTGGGTTTGGCCTGTTCTTTTCCAGTCTCAGGATTCCCTCCTTACCCCCTGTCCACACTCTCTCAGTATTACTGGTTGGTGCCCGCTGTGTCCACACATCTGTTTTAGTTTTTCCATTGGGTCCCCTACTTAGGAGCAGGTGTCCAGAAGTGTCTGTCGGGTCGGGTCCCCACTTGTGTCCGCGAGCGCCTTCCTCAAGCAGGAGGCCGACCTCAGCAGGAGCCTCTCCATGCTCCTTTGCTCTGGCCCTGCCCGACCCCTCCCTCGCCAACCTGCCCTGGCTGCTGAGCGCCCCCCCCCCCAGTCACCCTAGGTGCCACTGCTCTGTGGACATCAGGTTACACAGCCTTCCAGAGAAAAGGCCCTCTTTCCTCATGTTGAGGGGGAACACATTGAAGGACAGATCTGGGCGACTCAGGGTCTGTCAGAAGTGTTTAGTGCCGTAGACCTTTAGCAAGATTGGGTTCAAGGCTGGGTTTAACCACTGGGAGGTTGGTCAACCATATTGAGTTAGATGATTCTCTTGACTTTGCAGAGGAAGAAACTGAGGTTCAGAGAGTCCATTTGCTATTTCTGCACTCGTGTGGTTAGGAATTGGCTGAAAACTAGGACTTGCCATGATTTCTGTCCTGGGCCAGGTTCTTGATCGGAGCCCTCTGAGGGGGCAGGTGAGGAGCAGGGCTGTGTGGAAGGAGTCAGGGCACTTTTCACATGTCCACGGGTTTTACTTTTGGGATCAGGAGAAGAAGGATGAATGGCCTTTCAGCCACTCAGTGTGGTGAGGTGTCCTGAGAATTTTAGGGGAAAACAGTTTCTTGGTGTGTCTCCTGGCATGTCACGTGAAGCACGTTAGAGGAGAACCTTGAGGCATCATCTTGAGAATTGTAAAAAGACTTTTAACCTTTCCTTCCGGAACCTTTGCTAATATTATGAGAAATACTTTGTCAAAGTAAAACACTCTGCCTTCCTCTTCCTTGGCCTGGCGGGCTCCCTCTGGAACTGGCCGCCCCGGGYCGCTCTCTGCTGCCCGCCTGAGTCAGGGCACAGGTTTCTTGACTGCAGGGTGCAGCCAGTGCCACCTTCCCTTCTCTCCCTGTAGACCCCTCTTCGGGGCATGGGCTGTGCCAGCTCAGGCAGTGCCCAGGGYCGTTTCACTGTGGAGCTGAGAGTGAGACTTGCTGTCCTGTTGTCCTCCCTGAACAGTCTACCTCAAGTGGAGACACTGTGAGACCCCGGGCGTGAAGACGCTGGGCGACCTCAGGAAGCTTCTGCACCGACTGCAGAGAGAGCACAAGGAAGATGTCTTGCTCTACACCTCAGGCCACCTCAATCCCAGCAAGCTCTACCGGCCGCCCGAGACCCACCTGCCCGCCTGGTGCGGCACCAGCAGGCCAAAGGGGGAAGCGGCTTCTGCAGTGGGAAAGCCACCCGACAGGAATGTCGCCAAGATGAAAGATGCTTGGGCTCATTTTACCATCAACACAGCTCTGCTCCCTGATGAGACCGGAAACAAGCGGCTGTTCAGGTACCTGAACCCCCAGGCGCGGGCCTCCCACACTTCCAGAGAGGACTTCGCTCCCAGGCAAGGAGAGAAGGCGGAGAGGGGCACAGGCTTTCCTGGAGGACGCAGGAGAGAGGAGCTCAGGCTGCCCCAGATGAAGGTGCTGAGGTACCGGGAGCCAGGGTCCAGCCGCAGCTGCACCCTGACGGCCCCAGGCCCGGACGAGTACCAGTACATCAACTCCTACCTGGCCGGCATAACCAAAGCCGACAGGTACCAGAAGTTCTTGAGTTTCCAAAAGCAAGTTCTGGCAAAGCAAGATCTACTGAAGAGGGATTTCACAGGGGCCAAGGTGGCAGCGGGCCATGAGAAGAAGTTGGAGGAGGTAAGAAGGGCCACTGCAGCGCTGTCCACACAGGGCTGCGACARGAGGACCCTCCGGGCTGAGACTCATCTTTAGCTCTTTCACATTTCCAGGTGTTGAGAAAATCCACAGGTTCAGCAGATGCTGACAGTCAGGTGAAGTGGAAGGCTAAACGTGGACGTGGGGACACTGGAGGCAAGGTCACAGTCAGAAGCATTAGATGCTATGTGGCCATGATGGGACATCGACTGTAGGACAGCAGAGGGATCCAGGGACAGCCGGATCCACCGTCAGTGGAAGGGTGTGAGGGGGCAGGGGGAGGGACCAGGCAGATGGTGGGTGTGGCTGTCCTAGGAGGAGGGTGGGATCGTGACTCAGGCAGCTCTCCTGAGGGAGAGAGCAGGGCAGGAAGGCCGTGGGTCCCCCTGTGAAATAGTTAGGCCTGGGGGCTGGGCCTGAGTGTCGCAGGGGCAGGAAGAGGAAACCGAGAGCAGACCAGAGAGAAGCTCCAGGGCAGGTCCTCAGCAGCTGTGGGCCAGGTCAGGGGTCTTGGTTGGCCACCGGCTCTGCTGAGACCAGGCTCTGGGAGGTGGCAGCTGTGCCCTTCTGGTTCCTCAACCTGAGAAACGATTTGGAGAGTACAGAGAAGACAACCTGACCCTCTGTTTGTCCCCAGAAACTCCAGAAAATATGCACGTGCCTCCCGCAAGAGCTCAGCAGGCTGCAGGTCTTAGGAGAAGTGTTTGAAGATGTCTGCAACAGTTCTTTGATATTTGGCGACATCTTAAAAGAAGTTAAGGTAACAGATACATACTTTTTTTTCACAATAACTATGAGAACTATGTGTGAAGTTCTGCATCCTTGAACCATCTCATACCTCCCAGAAATCCTGCCCTGTTGAAGGTCCCCATTCTCCAGAGAGACACCCTTCACCGAGACTCCAGACTGCAGGTCCAGGCCACAGCACCCAGTTAGCTCTTAAGCCCATGCTTGTTTGTTTTTCCAAGTTCTTTCTGATTAATTATAGTACAACATACGTGGCACGTGAACTTCTGTGATTGCCCAAGTGCTATTTTACACGGAGCCCTTATGCAATGAGAAAACTGCTGTGGCTCCATGATGAAAGGCCCCTCAGTGGCACCCAAGCTGAACTTGGCTTGCTTCAGGAACACGCTGTTCTCTAACATCCCTAATGAGTAGGGATGCTCAACAGTAGTGCTGTGGTGGTGTGTTCTACAGAGATGCCCTGGTTGCCAGAAAGCTCACCTCGGGCTGCAGGACAGGATTTCTGGATGGCACGAGATCATGTTGTTTTTTGATACATATTGAAATGCTCAGTAGTTTAAACTCAAATTTGTTTCAAAGACTACTAGGCCTTATGCTTTTTAGTGCATGTGGTTTAATACACTGTAGGATTTAAGGCACTATAGGATTTAATGCACTGTRGCATTTTGTATACTTTTGTTCTTTAATTATCTAAATGGACATCCTTAACCTCGGTATTGTTTATATCTGTGAAACAAGCCTTGCTCCGTAGCCTGGCCTCCTAACTCATGTCCAGTGGATGTCTCTGTGTGCGCAGGATGAATATGAACTCTACATGACCATACTCCTGTGCTCCCAGCCCACGGAGCAGTATGAGGTAACTGTCCACCTGGAGACACCCACCGAGCCTGCCTGGGCRTGCTCCACCTTCCACCGCACTAGAAAACATCCAGGACCCCAGGAGCACCGTGTGTTCCCGTGCAGTTCACCCCAGCTGGCCCCTTCATAGGGAAGAGCTCCATACCAGCTGCAGGATGCTGTTGGTAATGGACTTCCCTTTAGATGGACCCAGCCTTGGTGGGTTCCCCAGGCACTGGGGTTGGAGGACACTATTTGGGAGGTTAAAAGGGGGCCACTTCAGTGACTGCCGGAGCACCCACAGTAGTTCTGCTGGGTACTGYAAGGAGTGCCATGCGGCCTGCCTGGCCCAGCCACAGTGGCTGTCGCCTCCCGCGGTGGCTTCCTAGGCGGTCCCTCAGAGTTGTGTTGGGTGCGTTGGTTGTAGTAGGAAATCTGTGCTACAGGAACAGCCATCACTTGTAAAATCTCAGAGTGTCACACTGTGGCTCTGGTGTCTTGGCATTTTGAATTTGGTGAAGTTTAAAACTTGTGTCTGGCATTTTCACCATGAGGAGATGCAGTTTCTCTCTTTGCACATAAAACTCGGCAGCATAGAAGGAGGTCAGTTCTGATTTCCTGCTCGGGACACTCACACTCTGTGGCCGCCCCTCCAAGCCCTTTCATGCTGTGCGGACTTGTCTTTCAGGATTGAGCAAGACCTCCTTGATCTGCCTGTCCCTTACTTTTCAAGGTTGAGTAGAAAAGGGCCAGTTGTGTCCACATTGTGTCAAACATCAGGGTGAAGGAATTCCCAGGCTCTCRGGCTCTAGATCTTTCTCTTCCTGAGAACCTGGCCAAGGTCTCTGCCGCTCTGCCTTTGAGCACAGCACTGACTGAGTTACGATGGTCCCCACTGACTGAAGAAATGCCCGGGGGCTGGTGACAGCGCACCAAAGGCCTTTGTTCAGCATGTCCTCCCCCTACACACACAAAGCAACCTGGGAACTCCTGCCATTTAAAGAATTTCTTAGGAAAATAAAACATTAAAATAGCTTTTACAAAAGCGTTTAACCACAAGTTCACTTGACCAGGATGTCCTCCCCCAGTATCCCATCTCTCGGGTCCTCCTGCTGGACCTATTTTAACTAGAATCCGTGTTCTGACCCAGGGCATCTGGGATGCACAGTAAGTCAAAGGGACCTTCTCTGCCCTTCCTGGGTGAGCCTCACCCTCTCTGTGCCTTGCCCTCCCAGACTTACCTGGCCGAAGCGAAAGAGCTAGAGAAGAGTCCCGWGCAGAGAGGGGATATTGACCAGGCCAGGGAGGAGCTGAGGAAACTCGTGAAGGCCACCAGAGCGGCCCTGGAGCACCACAACAAGTGAGCCCTGCAGACRCGCGTCCATCTGGGTTGGGTGACCTTCCTTACCAAGGCCTGAAAGCCGCGTGACTCACACACGTCTGAATTTTGTTCTGTGTTGTTGGGTGTGACGTGGTGCCTGAGACAGCATGATTCCTGGCCTGCGCCCAGCTGTCCCAGTGTGGCCGGATACTCTGCCCACTGTGGTGTTTCCAGGGTGGGAGGGCTCTGAAGGGGTCCATCTCTTCCCGCTGGCCCCGGAAGACTTGCTCACAGGTGTGAGCTGGGGCTGCACCCTCTTTCTCACCTGTGTGGTCCTCCAGGGACACATAACAATCGGATGGGATCTACTGCTTGCAAGGAGTTAAAAAAAAAAAAAAGATTAAAACAAAACCGAGGTCACCAAATGTCCTCAGGAAAGAAACTCCCACGGCGACCTCGCCGTCAGCCCTTGCCTTGGCTCTGGTCCGTCTGAAGGCCTCTCTCACCGTGTGGCACTAAGTTCTCGCCCTTCCCAAGGGCCCAGGGGACTTGGCTGTGGGTTCACAGCGGGCCTTTGACAGGAGCCCTCTCCAGCTGGCCCTTAGCTGCATGCCGAGGCGCTGACCCGTGGCTGGGTCATGGGAAGCCGTCTCTCCTGAGCAGTAGGGTTAGGCTCAGGTGTGCACCTCAGGCGAGATACAGAGGAGGCGACTCAGCCAAACCCATGAAATGACACAAGAAGGTTGTGACTTAGAATCCAAAGGGCGGTGGGCAGCATGCTTGCAGGGCCACAGGAGCCATTGGGACACGCGTGCCCCACTGCTGGGCAGGGGACTTCATATGGATCCAGAGCATGACCCAAGTCACCCACAGAGGCCTGCACAGGGAGCCCTGGTGCAGGGTCCAGGGCTGCAGCCCAGGTTCTGTGGGGTCCCAGCGACTGAGAGAAGGTCACCGTGGCACACCTTCAGGGTGTGGGACAGAGACTAGTCATATAGGTCATTTCTGCTGTCCCATAGGAGTCAGGCACCAGGAGGCAGATACCTGGGCAGACCTGTGGAGGAACTGGGAGGAGGTGGAGAATGGGGTGCTGTGTCCCAGCTGAGCCAACCCTGCTGCTGTGGTGACTACGAAACTTTGCACCAAAAACAAAGTACAAAGAGGTTACTGAGGTCTCTCCTCCTCCTCCTCCTCCTCCTTCTTCAAATCTTTATATCTATTTTTAGTTCAAACATAGTGGAATTTTAACTTGTGACTGTGGGGTGTGACATAATGCAGAACGTCTATTCCTGCATCAGTAGGCGCTGCCCTGATTGGCTGTTTGCCTCAGCGTGTAAAATGTTAGTGGTTTTATTTTTATTGTTTGCCTTCTTTCTTAGCAATTGAAGTCCAGGATAACATGAAGCACCACAGAAAACCCTGTGTTAAGTTGACCTGTTCTAATGTGCATGCAGTCCTGGGGAAAAGGCTCTCCTACTTGGTCAATCTGGGGCTCTGCTTTATAGACATCTTTCATTCTCTTTTGTGTTAGAAAGTCAGGTGATACCATTTTATTTCTCAGTAGAAAGAAGACTTGTGGTATAAAGTAGATAAAAGGAACAAAGTATCACTGAAGCTCTCACCGTTCACTTTCTTTAACTTATCAATTTGTAGACTCAGAGATGAATTAGAGGTGGAGAACAAACTGCTTCGAATCACTAAGGAAAGATCAGGCAAGTGCRGGGTTCCCACCCATGTTCCCTCTGTCGCCCCTGCCCATGCCTGACTCGAATCGGCCCCTTGGTTCCCCCGGAGCCTCCCTGGGGAACACTGTCAGAGGTTCCTGCGGGTCTCCACTACCCCTGGGCTCCCTTTCATGCTCTGTATAGTCTCCTGATGATCTGCACCATCTGCATGCAAACCTGGAAAAGTCTGTGAGTAGTAATCAACCATTAAACCTTACACCTTGGCCAGAGCACACAAGATAGTCAATAAACACTTATTGATTACATGAATGAATTAAATCAGGAATTAAGGAAGGTATACCTCGTTTTTTAGATCAGATTATTTTTGACATGCTTGGACTTTGAGGTCCATTATACTTATAAATGATGTATATAATATTGTTAATAATACACAGTACTATTAATGAGAGCCAGATATTAAACACAATAATAGTTTGCCTTCAAAATATATTTCCAGAAGAAATGGAGAAAAAATTAATTGATGAGGAACAACTTACTCTTACGGAGAAGGTTGAAATTCAGAGATGTGAAATACTCAAGAAATGGGATGAAATTCAAGACCTTGAAAAGCAAATTAAAGCAACACTGGTGCACACTGGAATTTCAGGCATTGCCGAGAATAAGCTTAAAAGCATAGAGGTATGCAATTTGTTTAAATATTTATATTGTTCTTTTGCTTGAGACCTTGATGAATGCATGAAGCAATTTGATTCTGTAACAGGGTATAAAWATACAGTCAAATTTGGTCCAAATGTATTTTTATTTCAGAGTTTGTGGCAGATAATTAGAATAATTAAAAACCAGCCGAAACAAAAATGATACAAATGTCATTGAGCTGTCAATGGCCAATACCTGCAGAATCTGTGCAGAAAATGTGCAGTTGGATTCAATATAATCTCTGGCTGTAAAATTTATAAGAATTTCCTCTTGTGGCTATATAGTCACAGATATTTTCCCAGCACTATTTTTTTTTAAGCTGAGTAATTAGAAATGGTATGCAGCTGGTAGTGGTGCTCTAAACTACTCTGGATTCTTAATTAATCATTATCTTGCCTCACTGCCATAATTGCTAATCCTTTCCAACACATTGGCTATCTGTAAGAGCAAGTCTTGATAACCCCCGCCCACCATTTTTCATGATTAACTTGGATATTCTCATTCACAGTACTAACTGATTTTTCAAGTTCTACTATTAGTAAGACTCTGGTATTCCGATTGTGCTTACAATGAATTTATAAATCCATTTGGGAGAAAGTGATAGTTTCACAATATGAATATTCGTATCCAGGATCATTTTAACTTTATTTTATTTATTTCTGTGTCTGGGTCTTAAATAATTATTATACTTACTCACATGAATTTATAGGACCTGATACTATTTTAAATGGAAATTTAAAATGTTCCACATTACACTTGGTGATCGGTTCCTGGTGCGGGTGTTAAGTACCGGTACAGGTGGGCCGTGGGGATGTTGTGCATTTGGCTCCAGGCTCCCACACTAAAGCTATTATCACAATAAACTGATGACATGAGTTTTTTGATTTCTCAGAGTATATAAAAGTTATGCTTATGCTATATTGTAGTCTATTAAATGTATAGAAGCATTCTCTTTAAAAAATATGGACCTTAATTTTAAAAACTTTATGCTAAAAAGTGCTAATTATTATATGTGCTGTTAATGGTGAAAAAACAGTGCCAATGAACTTGATTGGCACAAGGTTGTTCCAAGCCATCAGTTTATAAAAGAAAAATCAAATATCGATGGAGCACAATAAAGGGAAGCAGAAAAATGAGGTATGGCTATATATGTTTATATATATTAAGTTTTGTAAACTGGGCAGGGTTTTTTTTAAGTTGCTGAGGCTAGTCTTGAACTTGTGATCCTCTTGCCTCAGCTGTCAGAGTCTCTGGGATTAAAACAGTTTTTTATCTTAAAACTGACAGGTATAAGTTATGTGTGAATGAAAATGTAACACTTAGTTTTAATGGTTGAATGTGCTAATCATGCCCAGCTTGTATTTGTAGTTTTATATTGTTTTCAGCCACTGAACAGTGAGGAAACTTACTCTGAATTTCCCTAAGGTTTTAAATTTTTGAAGGATTAATCCCATCTTCTTCAGTTTTTGAAACAGAGGCCAGAGATATTTTTTCTTAAGCTCTGTCCTTCATTTAATCATATGATTTTAAGTGTTGTGTTTGAGTACTCTTGAGATGACACCATTTACATAATACTTTTTATTCCATAAATAGAGAAAAATAATTAACCAGCTATCTTGCTTTTAAACCATTTGTCCTTCAGAATGAAGCTATAAGATTGGAAACATCAAATAGGATCCTAAGTAAGAAATTGGAAGTAAGTCTTCTTGGTGCCTGAATCAGTGTCACAGTAGAAGTGATCCCTGGAGTACCTACTTGCCCTGTGTCACAGACAAACAAGAATACACACSTTCTTCCTCTAGATGACACTTCCTGTGGTGCTCCAAGTATCTGGCTATGCACACAGTATTTTAAAACTGACAGGCGTAAACTGATGTATAAGTGAAAGTGTAGCACTGAGTTTTAATGGTAGGATGTGCTAATAATAATGATTTCTCTATTCCATCTACACTTTACCATGCAACATAAGGAGTTTATTTGGTGACAAGGAATCTTTTGAACTGACTCCACCTAACAGCTTTGAAGATGTCCCCTAGGGCTGATTAGAACACTTACCTTACATTTGCAAAGCCCTGGCTTCCATCTCCAGGAAGACACACACACACACACACACACACACACACACACACACACAGAGCTTAACATGCTATAGATCTATTACGTGTGTATCTGTACTGTACACAGTATGAATTAGTATGTTATACCTGATTCTAGAAATGCTGATTTATTTGGATTCAATTTCATTGCCATCATACATGACGACAGGATTTTAAATTTTTTGTAGGCCAATGAAAACCATTTGAAGCAGTTCATGAGAAAGAGTAAGATCAGTGAGGAGGAGCAGCAGTGAGTATATCTTCAGGAAAGAGCTGTAACTGTCCTGCTGTCCCAGAACACTCACAGGCTGAGCCCTGAGGAGCACTTGGGAAAGCCGACTTCATACTGTTGCAGCTTTTCCTGCTTAAAAGTGCTTAGTCCCAGATTTAAACCTCAATGTATATGGATGGTTTTTCAATGTCGAGAGCTGAAGAGAGGCAGTGGATTCTCCTGGGCAGGGCCAGGAAAGTGGGGGTGCCTGTGGCTATGGGTGGCTTTCTTTTCTCAAATTACAAGGATTTTTGTGAAGTTGAATCTGAAAAACCCTATGAATATCCTCCTTTAAAATTTTAAGTTCAAAAGCGAATGGTTGATTTCAGTTGCCTGCTGTAGGTGACTTGTGCTTCACATGGCTATTCTTCTGAGACTTGATGTTGCACTTCGATCCAGGATTTGGTACAATTGGAAGTGGAAGAAAACCATGCGGGTTTAGGGAAGGCTTATTGGTATCAACAGGGCCCGTTAGGCTCAGTGGTGGCATCCAGTAACTAGGCGTGCACTGTCCTTTCCTGAGACCTCCCCTGGGTCTCAGTATGGCTGTCTTCAGGGATCAGGACCATGTTCCAAGGAGGAACGGAGGGGAAGAGGAGGACAGATAACCAAAGACTTCTCATGTGGGGCTTTCAGCTCAATTGAGGGGGACAGTGGTTCTCGGTGACTCCCAACCACACCTCAGTGGCCCGCACGGCCTACCACCCCCCTTAGCTGGAAAGGAGGCCAGAAACAGGGGACGCCTCCCTCCCACTAGGTAGACAGAGAAACCCAGGGGAGAGGGCACTGGACCGGGATCTCAGCTTCCTTGGTGACTCCTGCTCCTCCTGTGGTGTGGGGGGCAGTGGTTTTAGTTGGGTAACGACAACGTTACGAACTTGGCCCTGGGAGGCTCCTGGCACACTCCGGCAGCAAGAGTGAGTTTCTGAAGGCTGTGCGGACTCTTGGTGGCAAGTCCACCCCTGCTGTTACGCTGTCCTTCATCTGGAAGATGCGGGTGGGGGCTTGGGGGGATCCAAACACAAGCAGGTCTTCCTTCCATCCAGTGTCTAAACTGTGCTAAAATATTCTTCAAAGGCAGATGATTGCAAAGTCTCATCTGTTTTCAGATAAACGTGCCCTAAAATAGAAGTTTACTTTGAAGTGTTCTTTCTTCCTTAATGCATTTTTCTAATCTATTATATTCACTTCTTATGTATTTTAAGGAAACTTTGGGAATTTATTAAAAAATACACAAAATTAGAAGAAACAGAAAATAACTCTCAAGCAACTGGAGAAGTGACCCATGAAAATTCAGAAGTGTCATGTGTATAGCAGCCTGGATGTTTTCAGATGGAGAAGTCAACGGAGAGGCATTCCATTTCGTCCACCTTACCCCAATAAAATTAATGTGTTATAAGTATCCTCTTGAGCGTGTTGATCAATGCATATACACACATGGTCAGTTTTAATTTATGCTTATGTGCATAACAATACTAGTTCTGAGAATTTGCTGCTTTTATTTAGTAACTTTCCACTGGAGAAAATACTTTTCAATATTTAAGAATAAAAAAATCTTTCTGTGTCATATTAGGGGGGATCAAATTTGTCAATCTAAAAATAATTGCTTATCTGCCAACAGTTTTTTTAACATGTAATACAGTGTAGTGGTGCTCTAATTTATATTCATTCAATTAAATAACCTTTATGAATTGGAAGTGATGGCTGCTCTTCAAATGTCAGGACTCTCGTTTGAGCTTGGCACACGGGCATCTTGGTTGGCCGGGACCTTCGGCCCAACCCTGGGACTTGGGGTTCGTTTCTCCTCTTTGTCTTTGATCTGGTCTAACTTCTAGAGCTGGAGGTTAAGTTGGAATCCTTCAGACAACCAAAGGTGGTGACCTTGGAGTTCAGATGTCAGTGGTGAGGACATGAGTCCTAACTTGGAATAGTGGAGGAGAGAGAGGGAGGATGGGGGGCAGACTTGTCAGGAGGGTGTGCTCCAACAGTGCTCTGAGAACCACAAGCTCTTCCTGGCCATGACTCACCTCTGCTTAGGAGGCAAATTGGTGGCAGTTTTTGCCATGTATAGACATCAACCGGACTTTCTTAGTAGTGTTTTCTATATTCCAGTTACTTTCCGTTGGTCATTTCGTCCACTAGGATCCTGCTAATAGGATGTCTCTCCTTACACAGGGGAGACCTGCAGCTTGAGGCAGGGACTCGGTTCCCTAGAGTGCCCTCCAAGTGACAGGGCTAGAAGGAGCCCAGGTCTGGTTGACACCACCCCTGACCTCCTGGGGCCTTATCGTGTGGTGTCATTTGTAAGATAGTGGGAATGGATTTCGGAATTGCCTAAGAGTGGCAGAAAGACCACGAGAAGTAAAGACAGACAGATGCTCGGTGTGGCTCCGTGGTGGGTGAGGAAACTGGGGAGTGTTCATCCGGGATTGGCCAACCACCATGCTGTTCTTGGGGGGCTGCCAGGTGGGTTATAGGAAGGCTTTGTGGAGATCAGAGTTTGTGAGCAGAACGCGCTCCTGAGGACTGCAGATGAGGGATCCTCTCATCCTTTCTATTACAAAGAACCCTCCATTCTGTCAGCATTCAGCATAGTTCAGAGACGTGGCCAGCTGTGAGGATGGAAATGAAGAACATCTGGTGCCGATCCCCCGGGAGTTTTCRGTGGTGGTAGAGGCTGAGAGAAGAGCCACAGCCAACGCCTAGTCACACTGCTGCATGCCAGGCTGTGGGTAGGTGGTCCCACATGCGCTGGACCAGGTGTGACTGATAAGGAGCTTTGGGAAGGGACCTGGCACAGTGGGTGTGGCTCCTTGCCTTTGAGCAGGAACACGTGACTGGGGGCCAGGGTGGGGTGCAGGTGGCTGAGCTCCACAAGAAACAGGCGACCCCTGGGAAGACTGGCTGATTTGTAAAAGAGACTAAAAGGGAATAAAGAGTCAAATTTCGGCCTCTCGTTGTCAGAAAATCTGACTGCTTTGAGTCTGCGCTTCTCCGAGATGAGATTTTAGAGAATCCCTAATTTGATCCAGGTTCGGAAAGCAAGGGGCAAATCCTGGTGTGGCCTTTCCGTCCAAGCTCTGCAGCCCCGAGGGAAGCATCTAGGAATGGAGAGTGAGGCCTGGGCCATGGGACTAGGTCTGGGAGCAGCACTGAGTCCTCTTGGATGCCCGGCTCTACCTGGAGGCAAATGCTGTGGGAGCCTCCTGAGTTTGAAGGTTTCCAGCCAAAGAATCCAGGACCCTCAGGTAGGAAAGCCCGTTACTGCCCAAAGCCTGCAGCAGCCTTGGTCTCCTGACCACCCAAGGAGAGGGCAGAAAAGAAGCTGAGAAAGCTGTGCTTCCCCCAAGGGGCATATTTCCCAAAGCCCACCATGCACATGCCCAGGGGAGGTGGACAGGGGCCAGCCAGGCACAAGGATGAGGGCAGAGCTCCATCCAGGATGCAGGAGCAAACTGGGCCCAGAGGAGTCCCGGGCTTCTGGGTAGGCCCTGTGTCTTCCCTGCAGAGTTTTAGAAATCTAGGTGCTGAGGACGGCTGTGTGCCTCCTGTTTTTACCCTTTCTCTATGGAAATTCTCAAACTTCCTGAACCTATCCTGCCACATCAATGTTTATAGCAGCTCAATTCACAATAGCTAGACTATGGAACCAACCTAGGTGTCCCTCAATAGATAAATGGATAAAGAAAATGTGAATATATATATATATATATATATATATATATATATATATAT